TATAGGTCCTGGAAATGATCTGAGAGGGTGTAGCAATAGTCGATACACAGTCATAGAGCTGAGAAGGCCGCTGACGAAGGACGCGCTTAAGATGCTCGCGGAAGCGAAGGAAGAAATCCAGGAGGTATTTCCGTTAACAGCGAGTGCTATGACTGTAGCTGCGAAGAGGACACATGATGAGATGAGGATGTTGGCTGCATGGCGGTCCCATTCGCGATGCCTTGCGAAGACAGTAGCATGGAGCACGACACCGCCAGCGAATGTAATAGCGAATCGCATATTTGATATCCTGGCATAAGAGTGATTGATGGAGGAGAAGGGTTCATTGTTTGAAAGTCATCCAATACGGCGGGTGGCAGCAGCTATGTGTTGCTGCCAGGCAGTTACGCTCGGTCCGCGCGTTCGGCATTTTCGGTCATTCCTTCTCATTTCCATTGCGGTGCTGCGTGCTGTCTAATCAATTCACAAGGAACGATTGAGGATGGGCAAGAGATGAATGTGATGACGGAAAGCGCTGCGTGATGGGGAGGAAGATGGGGTAGTTGCAGACGCGTCACGAAAGACGCGATGCCGCCGGCACAACTCCGGCAATGCTCATTGGCTGACACGCGTCGCCCGTGCGATCTATCTCGTGAACAACGCGATGCCGCCTCCATCGCCCTTAGATTCCGAAACCTGAACACCCATGCCAGCCTTCGCATAGAATCCTCTGTTCTTCTCTCCGCACAATACACTAGCCACAACACCGTCACCCTCCTTCTGCGCTTCTCGAACACCCCACGTGGCCAGCAGCTTTCCGACACCTTTTCCTTGGTAGTCTGGATGTACACCACAGACGTGCAAGTCCCAGCACTCAGTGCGATGGCCTGTCCAGTACTTTTCAGAGTTTGCGACAGCGGTGTCGAGGAAGGAAGTGCGCGTAGGATCAGCCGCGCGATTGGGGAAGAGCGCTAGAGACATGGAGTGGTATGTCTTAACGAGTGGCGCGATGAGATTACCTGCGAACAGAGAGGTCAGATAAGGCCAGCTGCGCGCTCATAGGCTATGCGGAATACTTTGATGGACATACGCGGATCTGTTCGCCCCAAACCCATGCCTTCTCCGCCTTTTCCTAGCCTCCTCCAGTCTGCGGCACCAACGACCTTCTCATCGTCTGTCACGACCAGGAATCTGTGTCGCCAGTCCCACAACCGTTCTCGGATACCGCGCAGCAAGAACCAGTACACGTCGTCCGGATACTCCTTTCGGTGCGGATGCATGATCACGCCGATGATCTCATCGTCAAAGAATGCCGCTGTCCATACTGTTGCTATCGAAGAAAGATCTGAGAATCTTGCAGGGCGAAGCTCAAAGTCGGTTGTGCTCGTCGACTCCGTTGCCATCGTGCGTATGAGATTGGTCGCGCAAACGACTGGCTCTTTTGCGACACTCCCCAAGATGTCCAGGTAATCAACCAACCGTCAAGTATTGTGATACGGTATTATGCTCATGGCCTACGTGTGCCGAGCAGACGGGGCTGCAGATACGCGCTCCGGGCGTACTTTAACAGTTGTGAGAGGCCCCACATTCGGGCTACACCCATGCCGCTACGCGTGCGGAGTATGCATACATCATACCCAAGAGACCAGGATTTGTTCCTTAGAGCATGCCAGAACACCGAGAAGAGCGACAAACCTTTGGCCTCCGCTACTGATTCTGTCTCGTCGTTTGTCAATGCTCACAAGGGCTGCAACAACGCTTCAGCAACACGTGATGCCGTCCGACCACCCGATGTGGTTCACGCGCCCTTCGCGAGACCGAGATACATGTATAAATATGTGTGTGTCAGTTGCTGACGCTGATCTGGTATCCAAAAGCGCAATCGTCTCATCGCTAATATGAACCTGTTGGCGCCATGGTCAATCACGCTGACTGACGAAGAAGGTCGTCTCAATGTTCAGCCGCAAATCCTACGATTTCATGACGAAGCTTGCTCGCCGTCAGCGCCATTGCGCAGCCAGTTCCCACTCCCCAACGAGGTTCTCGACGTTGTACTGGACCATGTTGTTTGCAACAACAACGAAAGCTACAACGACGTGCTGAGCTTCCTCTTGACCTGTAAAGGATGCAACGAACCGGGGTTTAAGAAGTATCTCTATCGCACTGTGTGCTTTGCGCCAGATCTAAAGAGCATCGCCATACTCAAAGGCATCGCTGACGATCCTGCTCGAGCGAAACTCGTAAGGGCTATAGTGTACAAAGATGAGGCGCCACGACGGCTGGAGGTTGCAGAATTCGAGAGGGCAGGCCTAAGCTATCGTGACCGCGAGTTCCACCGCCCTTGTCAACACAACCGGATGACGGATCCCTATCTTTGGTCTACATGGTTGGAAGATAACAGCGTAGGTTGGCTGGACAAGTTCATCAACTTGGAAACAGTTTGCTACCGGCCAACCCGCAGCATGCTTCCACTTTCCGTGGATAGAGCGTACACGAAGCATACACCACTCAGGGAGACTAACAACTTGCGTCTCACGGATCAGGCCCCCTATCAAGAGCTGTACGGAATTAATACAGGCAACATTGTTCTCCCTTCATTCAGCCTCGCTCAAAATTATCCGCTACGGTACACCTGCGCGAAATCTCAAAGCAGACACTCCATGAACATCTTCTACGCGTTGCTTAGACACATAGATCACCGCCAAGGCCAGCGACTTTGGAAAGCCTCCATCAACTTCAACACACTTGGCTTCGTCGGTTTTCCGACCGGAGACATGGTACTCTCTCATCTCACTACACTGGAATACATATTTGACAGTGGCGACAAGTCTGATGCGTATAGCAGCGACTCGTTGAAGATGAGACTGGCCAACGACACTTTCATCATGCCCAACACCTTGCGCTGTCCAAATTTACGGCATCTGACCTTTTCGGGAAGATCGCTCGCAGAAAACAACGCGCTTCACATGTCCATGCCTCAGATAGGGCTAGTGTCGGGATCGTCTCAGCTTCTCTGTCCGATCTGGACCTCCAGTCTCGACACGTTGAGTCTCGTCAATGTGAAATTGAACCGGATCGCAGTCCAGAAGTTACTTCGACTATCAGTCAGACTTCGGTTAAAGAATGTTGTCTTTCTTGAGAATTCATTGGATGTCTTCACAGAAACCTTGGAGAATCGCCTCCTGTCAATCGAAGTGGGCTGTCTTATCGTCGTTGCAAATACGATTATAGGTGGGTTTGACAAGGTCTGGGTCGTCGGTAGCGAGATGGAGGCTGCAGCGACTGTCCGGGAATATTCTCAGTACGTCCGCGACTCATCGGCTTTGAAAAACATACCCTACGTTCCGTCAAAAGATCTAAAGTGGTATATGCTGCTTAGGGGGCCTTCGCCACTGCGACTCGACAATATGTGGACGACATCGAAGAGTCTGGCGCTGAGGAATGATTCATGGTGAGAGCCATGCAGCCGTCTATGGAAGCATGTCGGCAGTTCCACGACTCTCGACCAACTAGTCTAGAAGGGACTCACAGAACCACATTTCTTCCAACCATCTACCCAGGCAGCAAACAAACCCATTGCACATTCACTTATAAAGCGCCGGGACTGTTCTTACACTTACCTCGCTCAGATTCACTCCACTCAGACCGACAGTAATAGCGATGCCACCCATAATCCTACGAACTCCAGACAACAGTACCCCTACAACCAATTTATCAACCTCCTCAACACTTACCCCAAACAACAACACCTCCACATCTACTTCAACCTCCCCTTCAACCTCCCCTTCGACAGCTGCTCGCGACTCCTTAGCCGCCAATCACTTACTCACCGGCTTATTCATCAACCCCAACCCGCACGACCAGCCAGAACCCGCCATGCCTGATCTAGAACGCGGTTTCTCCTCGCACGGAAATGATGGACGTGGACGTCGGTATACTGGGACGTACAGGCAGGGTGAATGGGTGAACATGACTATCACGGTACTTTTAGTTGTGAGCGGTGTGTGTTTTGCGTTGTCTATACTGTATGGGACTGGTGTGTTGTGAGTAGTTGGCGGGTGAGGGGATTGGAGATCGCGGTATGGGACAAGGGCGAAGGTGTTTCCTAAATCCATCCGATCAAATACTACAGAAGTGGCTCGCAGCGCCACATGCCTTTCATTCACACGATATTTCAGTGAAACAGTGCATTGCACATTCACTGATCAGCGCCTGGCCGCTCTATAGAATCGTTCCACTCGTTCACCATATCCACTATGTCACCCATATTATCATGAGCTCCAGACAACAGTACCCCTACAACCAGTTCATCAGCCACTTCAACAGTTGCTCGAGAAACAACAACTGATACCAACGCCATGCCCTTCTTATCCATTCACCCTAACACATACGACCAGCAAAAGCGCAATGCGATTGATCTAGAACGCGGTCTCCCTTCAGAAAGAGATGATAGGCGACAGGATATCAGAGTTCACAGCCTAGACGAAATGTCGAACATGGAAATCGCGGTAATCTTGGTCTCAGGCGTTGTATGCTGTGTACTGTCTGGACTGTATCTATCTAGCGTATTGTGAGTGGTTTTTGGATGAAGGGGGGTAGGAAATTGCGATATGGGGAGGTGTTTGATGGGGTGGAATTGGATGTAGTAGAGCATGGAAATAGACCATGTAACTTACGTTAATGAACGTCAACATCAGACATGTTGTATACATAAATCATGTATTTGGTACGTTGAAGAGAAGAGTGGCGAGATGGCAAAATGCAGATTAGTCAGCAGGCCAAGTGGGGTGAAAGCAACATCGCACACCATCACCAGGCTTTATCCTTCTTCATCACATCCTCATCAGAAGAATCATCAACGACATGTTCCATTCAATATGTACCCATACCAGAATACCAGCCCGGCAAATACGACAGTATCCAGGCATCGCATAGCAGCATCCACCCCGTCCATGTAATCTCCAACCTCGTCATCACCTCCACGTCCTCACGACTTCGCATCACCTGTATTCATCAACCCCTCACATCTTCTTGCGCCCACTTCCCTTAGGACGCCCTGGCTTCCTCTTCGGGGTAACTGGCAGTGACAACGGCAACGAAGTAGCCTTTTGTCGTTTCCTGGTCCTCTTGACGCCCTCTGCTTCTTTCTCCGGCGCGTCCACGTATTCCTCATCGTCGTCGATGACGATGGGCCTCTTGCGTGACTGCTTTGGTGATATCTTCTGCGCGACATTGGTACTTGGTACCACCAGTGATGCTGCAGCGGCCTCGCGGGGAGCAGACAGCGATGCGATCTTCTTAGCGTTGGAGGCGCTCGGCTTGGCTTTGAGGGCCTTGGGTGCTGCGGATTGCGCTGCCGTATATCGCAGGTAGTTTGCACCGGCTTCGCCGAGATCGGCTGGGCTACTGCCGACGACGGGGTGGTTTGCTTCTCCAGGCGCGGTCGCGGTAATGTTGCCAGGCGCCTTCATTTTCTCCACCGGGTTCACCAGGATGTCTTCGAAGAAGTTGTCGCCTACTCGAGGGATTGAGATGTCGAAAGGATGATGCTCCTTGCGCGGCGTATAACTCTTGCGTAGTGCGCCGTCGGTGTGGCAAGGCACCGAGGTGATCTTGAGTGCGATGTAGCATTTGCGGAACTTGGTCTGCTTTTCGCGCTTGATGGCTGCCTTTTCGCGAAGAGTACGACGCAGGTTCTCTTTTAAGTGGTCAGCGTCGTTGCTAGCGTTACTGCCAGTAAGTGAACTCACCTGCCCCCGTTGATGTCAAGGTGTCAGACACGAGCCTTTCGTTCTCCTCCTCTGCGCACGCGTCGCAGTAGAACAGCAGCATCTTCGCCTTCTTTTTCTCGTCGCCGTTAATCTCGTGCCATCCGTGCTCGACACAGTAGCAATTGGGTGCGCACCGCTCATCAGGCGTGGGTGTGGTGATGAGGTGGCCGCATTCGAGAAGGTGCTCGTAGGACATGGACGCGTTGTTGCATGAGTCCGCGTCCCTTAATCCTATGACGCGTGGGTAGACGACTTTCTCGTGTATGGCCTCGGCCTTCTGCTTGGAGTCGGTCTTTTGCTTGGTAGATGGCGTCGGCGCGGCTGCTTGTCCTGGGAGCGACCACCGAGTGTTGAGCATGTTGCCGAATTGTCTGACGACAGACGACGACACGAGTGCTAACGAAGAGAACACGTTGGGAAACAGGATGATGTAGGCGGCAAGCGCGATCTGGATTGTCCGGTAGGTGGGTGGCCGGTAGCTTGGACTGTAGGTCAGGCGAGGTCGAGTGAGTCGAAAGAGAAGAGTCGGTCTCGCGACAATAAATTTGAATAGTTGGAATTCACCGCCAAGAAGTGAGGGTGAGTTGGGTGTGAGTTCTTGAATTGGCCATACTCACGCGGTCGTAGTTAGTGAAGGGCAGGCCGCGCACAATAGCAACCGCGCAGTCTTCACCTCGCCATGATTTCAGACTGCGCAATGTATACGCAGCGAATACTGAGCGTATCATAGCGTCTTCGGACGATTTCGTGACGTGGGTTCACATGGTGGTGTAGTATATAGTTGCACCACCTGAGGTTGGCGGAGGTATCGTGAAGCTGGGTAGGCGCGACTGACGAGTGATTCAGGAATGACGTCAGCTTGCTACTTCTGCTTTCACGTTGATTGCTGGTTGTGCGTGCTTGCTCTAGGACGTAACAACATGCGATGCGCAAGATGACTGACACTTGCAGCAAGTGAACGCCTACCCAACTTCGTATGATTTCGGCGATATTCGGATGTATCGGCACCGAGACCAATAGCTCGAAGAGCCAGTGAGAACTATGAGGTCTCTCCAGCAGCATGGATGACAGCCACGCTCATTGGCTGCCATAATGGTTGCCTAAATCGTCAACATCGGGCGGAGTCAAAACGTCAAAGCCTTGACATCAACATCGACATTCACTCCTCTACACACCGTTCTTCCTTGAAGACCCATAGAACAATCAACGTTTCGCGATGCCAGTCTCTCTAGAACTGACAACAGACACCGAGCATCCCGACGCTCTCACCGCATCGTCAGAATGCCCAGATATCTACGAAGAAACCATGCCAGGCAACACGCCATATCTGCTCCTCACCATCAACGATCCCGAGACCCTCTCAGTCCTAGGCAACGCGCTAGCCACATCAGACGCCGACATCCGCATCCTCCAGCCGCAATCTTCACGCAAGTCCGCCGACGACTGCTTCTCACTTCCCGTCACTGCGATCAAAGAGCTGCACATCGGAATATCCCCACTCGTCTCCTCCGATGATGTTCTGAACGACGGTGACACCTACGGCCCATTGATGACTCCCTTCATCCAGAGTTGGCGCGACGCGTTCCGTAGTCTCCCAGAGCGGCATTCAATCGAGCGGGTTGTATTCAATGTGCGCTGTGAAGATCCAGGCACGGTACGGAAAAGTGGCCATTTGCTCCAGGAAGTGAGTACAGGGATGTATGTAAAAGCGAAACGGACAATGGGGAGGGAGATGTCGTTCAGGGTTGTGGGTTATAAGGATGTAAGGCATAAGCGATGGCTGGAAGGAGCTCTGCCTGGTAAGAAAGAGGGACTTGGGGCTCCAGTAGCCAAGAAGAATACGACTATAGCGGATGCACTGCACCTTCAATCAACGTAGTCATTGTATGCCGAGAGTACGCCAGCCTTCAAACAGATGCAATCTCACTTACACTTTGACATCTCTACCACATGTCCGTCAACATCATATCTTCACAGTCACATCACTGCAGCCTACCATATCACTCGCACTCAACCCCAAATTTTCCCCACCCGCCACCCACTCAACCAGCTCACGCCCTACTCCATCATGGCACTCACCAAGCCGCCGCCTCAAAATCACTGCGACGACCCGTCCTCTCCTCTCCACACTCTAGACTGCGAACACATCATCAAACCACCCACCCTACCTTCCACACCGGTGTGCTTCCCTGCCCCAAAGTCGCCATGCTCATCAAACTGCACGCGCAGTGTATACACCACAAAGCCCCAACTCCCCTTAGCCTGGCTCAAGCGACAAGAAAACCTACATCAGCATCCATTCATCTGCCCCGTCTGCATCGAAGATCGCATACGCAGCCAGTACGCGCGATATCTAGAGAAGCAAAAGGGACGATCAGGTGCGCGGATACTGACAGACGATATGGAAACAAATGTACAGCTCTGGACATATGAGGCTGTGTTAGAAGCCGCAGCGCAGGGAGGTAGGGTCTGCGAAGCAGCCTCTGGAGATGGCGAGAGGTCTGTCTTTCGGATCAAGTACCTTGAGGGGTTCAAGGCTTTGACGCAAAGAAGAAACACATTGGTTACGGTTTGGGATATAAGAGATGTGCGCGAACAGATCGAGGTGGAGGAGCAGAACAAGATCACGCCCGATGAAGATGTAGAGATGGACTTGGCCGAGCAGCTTTTGGACGCAAAAATTGCGACTGCGCAAGACAGCGCAATTGATGGTCTTATGGAAGGGGTGTCAAGATTGTAGACGGGGGCATGTCTTCTGTTGTTCCAACCTGATCAAACTTGTTCTCGCCGTCGGCCTACCTGCCCGACTCGAACATGGGCCAAAAAGATGAGCAAAAAAAACATCAAAATACATACAACAGCGGGGATTCGCTAGTGGTCACCCACCTAACTACTAATCCGCCGGTACAATGCTTGTATATGGCTGAGCGGACGGGAAGCCTAATTCTCATTGTCCTATGGTCGTATGTGGAAGAATGAGTGATCTTAAAATTTATAATCGCGGCAAGTATCAATCAAGCGAGGCTGTATAGGTGAAGGCAGTTCCCGCAATACCGCTGTAGAGGAAAGCAAGAAGCGGAGTATATATTAGACAAGATATCGAGAGATTGGCAGCATGAAGGTCTGTGAGGGTTCGTGCTCCAGCTGACATCGGTGATGTTGGTGCGCGCGCTGCCGCAGTCTAACTTGTAAAGAGATCGACTCATCTGGAAGAGGAAGGTGGCTAAAGAATTGTCATGCATACTGTACTCTTTCACAACCTGGGAACATGTTTAGCATGCATATGTTCCTGCTAATGCAGACAGGTGCGGCTAAACCCTTCTAAAAATGAACGTAGTCCAATTGTACAGAACATGTATCCACTATTTCACCGGGCGACGCAGGCTGCAAGACTAACCTGCTCTTACTTTCTCTTGTTTGAGGATAGTTCGCCTGATTGTACGGCGCTATAGTATATGTCTCGTTTACTATGACTGGTCTGGCCACCCGAATTGTGGAGACTATGCGGCTGGGAAAACAAGCTTTGAGGGCGGAAGCTGAGTGACAGCGGTTCAGCTGCTCTATTGCGAGCCGTGCCGGGCTGCGTTCAAAAGCTGGGCGTAGACATTCAATGCGGGAGCCTGAACCTGAGAGCTGCGAAAGTAAGTAGTGACACTAGGCTCGTCTTATCGAGCTGCAGATTCCGAAGGATTAGCGATGGACTTCTTGTGCTGATCTTGAAGGTAGCCCCGGAAGCAGATGCCAGAGTTAGACTAAGAGACGCGAAATCCCAAAGCCTCCAGGGCTTCGACTGCGCGATGACGAATGACTCTGAATCGCCAATGGAAGGGACGATGCCGAGTCAGCCTATCGAGAACGGCGTGGTAATGGACAGAGTTGAGCGACCATGCAAGGAGTGCGCATCACTCAATCTCAACATTGAGAAGTTCGTGATCGAAGACGACAAGTCAGCAGAGATTCGCCCGTCACTAGATTCGTTGCGACTAGCCAACGAACGATTTCGACTCGGAACTCTTGACAGCATCACTGAGAGAGCAGAAACTTGCCCTCTCTGCCGTCTCGTAATCAACTCAATCGCAAAGGACGTCTTGAAGAATGTCGATGCTACTAAGGCAGTCTGCCATCTGACGTGGGAGATGGACGGCCGGTTGTCTGTCGACCCCAGACGCGCCTTGGGGGAGAAGCGAACCCGACGGTTGAGGGTGACATGGAGCGATGCGTCGCTCAAAGCCTTCGAATCCTACCTGGTGTTAGCCGCACCATTGAAGTACGCAAACTCCGATCTGGACTATCCCAAGCAGTTGAATCGAGAGACGCAGTTTCTTGGCCGCCGCTTCGGCGCGACGGAAAACAAGAAGAACCTGATCCGCGAGTTCTTGAGGCTCTGCGAAACAAATCACGACAAGCGCTGTACCCGAAAGATTGGTATCGAGAGCCCTTTTCTTGAGACGTTGATGGATCCGTACTTCGGCGTCATCGACATCGAGAACGACCGTCTGGTTCCGCTACCCTTTGAGGAGACAGAGGAGCATCTCCAATTTCAGCCATATGCTGCTGTCAGCTATGTTTGGGGAGATACTGGTGCGATGGATTACCGTACCAAGATTGGAAACATCCAGGGTCGACGAAAGTATGGTGGTCTGGCTGCTACCATCCGCAATCTCCCAAAAGCACTTTTCCAGAGTATTAAACTGGTGCATAGCCTGGGTATTAGATATGTCTGGATTGATGCGCTGTGTATAGTGCAAGATAGCAGCCACTCTTGGAACCTTAACTCGCGGGCTATGCATCTCATATACGGCAATGCGACACTGACCATCTGCGCTGCGGACGGCGAATCGCAGACTGGTTTGCTAGCTCTTAACGAAGATCAAAGGCCTCAGCAGCGGATTGGGGTTTATGCGGATGGCGTACATTTGATGCTGCACCAGCCACCGGAGATTAGCATCCAGACGTCCAAGTGGAACAAACGCGCTTGGACGTTCCAGGAACGATTGCTTTCCAAACGTTGCTTGATATTTACCCGAGGTCAAATTTACTTTCAGTGTCGCTCTACTGGTATGTCGGAAGATGTCTTCGCAGACGGAAAGGGCAGAGGCTGGTCGCTAGATCTGGTACAAGCGCCTCTCCAAATGCTCACGGAGCTCAAGAAACGTAGCATGTGGTTCTATGCCCACTGTGTACATCTGTACACATTGAGGGAGCTTCACGAACCGCTAGATATCCTGGCAGCATTCAGTGGCATGTGTAAGCTGATGGAGGGCACCATGCGAGCGCCCTTTGCTTTCGGTCTTCCAACGTCACACTTTGACTTTGCTCTTTTGTGGGAGCCAGTTGACTTGCTGGAACCTCTGGACTACAACAAGGTCTCGGAGAAACCTAAGTATAAAGATATCAAGTTCCCCAGTTGGTCTTGGTGTGGGTGGAAGAGTGATGGTATCCAATACAAACCGCAGATGATCGATGGCTGTCTCACTGATGTGCATGCTTGGCTGTTGGACCACACGTGGATTGATTGGCACATCAGAGACGGCCATGGAACACTGCGTCGCCTTTGGGATAGAGAATGTGCCATCACGGATCGAAGTACTGACGATAAGTGGAGAGGTTACAGCGCATCAATACGACCAGCGGAAGAGCCCGCTGTTCCTATACCCAATACGAGCGAGACTGAAAGCGACAATGACTCAACGTCATCCTCCAGCGCCGTCCACGGGCGTCGGCATCGGCGAGTCGTTGGTCATAGGCGACCTATTCCACATGCGTTTACCAGTACCGTTACGGATCGGCAGATGACTAACACCATTGGCACTGGAGGTTTGAAGCGCATGAGAAAGTCCACCGGTCAACTTCTGGAGAGAATGGCCAACCGTGAAGCCCACGATAGTTACGGTCGGCGCTTAACAGGAGGCCCACTAGATGAAATCCAGTTCAAAAGACGATTAGACTTCGCTCTAACCTTACCCGAAGACCCCTATCATGTCAGAATAACAGCATCCAGTCAATCCGCCGGTGATCTCAAAGAGTTTCCAGACCAGTCCTTCTTACAATTCTTCACTTGGCGGGCCTCTTTCCACATAGTACGCTCAAGTGAGTCCAACGTCGAGTTAGACAACGTTGGAGCCGCGAGAGCTCGATGCCACATAACAGACCGACGGGGCGACAAATGTGGGTCCGTTGTTGTCAACAAGACTTGGCTGGAGAAGTACGAAGCCACCGGCCAGACTATGTTCGAATTCATTGCGATCTCAGACGCAAAATCATTCAGCCAACAGGAGTTCCCGGTGTGGACATATTATCTGCCAAAAGAGAGGGTCGATTCCGAATGGGATTTATACTTTGTGCTCTTGGTTGAGCCATTTCCCGAGGAAGGAATTCATCGGCGTGTGGCTCTTGGCAAAATCTTCAAAGCGGCGTTTACCCTGTCCGACGATGAGTGGAAGGAGATTATCCTGGGATAGTCTAGTGTTTGAATATGGCAGAGACGAATAAAAGGCGCATTGACGTGATCCCGTGAAGACACACCGACATGACAGCCAATCCGGTGAGGTGGGTGTGACAGACCGTAAGATGGCAGAATGTAATGAGAGTCAGGCCGTAACGGGCATAATCTTAAATGCGTGATGTGTTAAGTGGTCGCAATGCCATTCGCCAAAAGCGGGTGAGCGAACGAACTTGCCCATCTCAGACAAACAATGGCCGCAGGTTCCGAGGCATCATGTTTGCGCGAAGCAGGGAAGAAGTCGATTGGACAGTCCTAATTAGCCACAACAAGATGAAAAGATCGTAACCTATCACGACGTCAGGCAACAACATGGTCAGCAGCGGAGAAGGGTCAAACCACAACCACAGCCACAGCCTCATGAACCCAATCCACATCCTCAACTCTCCACATCAAAAGGCCAGGGTAACGAAGGAGAAATCCAAGAAAGTATCTGAACACATGATTATTGGCAGACAAGTCATCCAGGAAGACAGGAAGAGACGAGCTGGTCCTATGTGCTATTAGCAGCAATGAGTCCTCCGCTTCCGTGGTAAATGCCGCTGATGCATGTGCAATCGTATGTGCAATCGTATGTGAGGAGACCTGAGACCAAGTGAAAGATCTGAACAAGACCGAAGTCCTTCACAGAACGTACCGAAGTAAGCACTCCTCCACCGCCATGTCCCGCGCCATATACAAGCTCTCGCCCATCATCCGCCTAAACAATCATGTCCGTCATTCACCGAGACGTTATCCTTTCAGTGTCCACCAAGACTTTCATCCGTCATACCTCTGAACGTTCATCCATCCCTCATGTTGATCTTGACAACGCAGCTTCCACCATCCAAGCACTGCACGTTGTACACCTTCGCCAGCATAGCCCGAAAAGCAACGCCCAAAAAGAAGAACAAGAAGAAGAAAGAAAGAGAGTCGTATCATACCGTCAACGCCATGCGTACGTACCAGAGGTGTGAGAGTGTGCCGAGAGTGGAAACCGTAAGAAGTGAACCGAGAGAATGAGCCGTAAAGAAACCGTAAGAACCGATCAGGGTATACTGCACACATGAGTGATTGGGCATGCTCGGCAGTAGTGGCTACCGAGCACCCCACGACAGTTGTGACGTACCGGTCGGTTAAAACCTGCTGGCAGCAGCACCCCAGAGGGAGTTGTAGATCTTGTCCACGACGTAGGAAGCGCGGATGGTGCGGTGGTTGAAAGTACGACCGTTGAGACCTTGGAGAGCCTTCTCACCACCGGAGACGGAGTCGAACTTGACGAAGACGTCGCCCTCGCTGTTGGCGTCGACAGCAATGTGAACGACCTTGCCGTACTTCTTGTCGCACTCGGACTTGATCTCGTGCTGGAGCTCTTTGTTCCAGTTGTCACCGTAGTTGCGCTGTTCCCTGGTGATGTGTTAGCGAATGTCACGGAGAAGATGCGAGGACTTACTCGTCAGGGTCAAAGACGTTCTCGATCTTGACGCACTTGGAAGCCATGGGAGCGGCGGGGGCTGGAGCGGGAGCCTTGCGAGTAGTGGGTACAGGCATAGCCTGACCACCCTGCCTGGAGTCTCCGGGGACGTCGCGGCGAGCGAGAGCGTCCATGAGCCTGCTGCGGTCATAGGTCTTGAAGTTGACTCCAGCGACATCAGAGTCGTCAAGAGCAGAGGCGCCGCTAACACCACGGTCGTCCTTGCTATGGGTACGGTCGAAGACACCACCAGTACCACCAGCATAGGCACCACGACCACCAGCACCGCTGAAGGCAGAGCCTTGGTAGGACTGAGCCTGCTGGGTGAATGTACGGAGGAGGTTCGCGGTCGATTCGGGGGTGAACTTGTCGTTGCCGAGACCAACGCGGATCTGGCGGCCGGCGAGCTCGAAACCGTTCATCTCTGCGAGAGCATTCTTAGCGTGCGAGGGGTCAACAAACCTGTGATGTGTTAGCAAATGATGTCGCAGGGAACATAAACAGACGACTTACTGAACGAAACCATATCCCTTGGAGCGACCTGGGTTCAACTCATCGCGCTGGAGGATGACCTGCTCAAGCTCACCAAAAGGCTCGAAGATCTCCTGAAGATCCTTCTCGGTGACGCTGAAGTGGATGTTGCCGACGTAGAGACGGTGGAAGGGGGCGCCGTTGGCACCGGGTGCAGCACCGCCCTCGGAAGGACGAGCAGCACGGTTCTTCTCGGCTTCAGTAAGCTGGGCAATGATGGGAACGCCCTTCAGTTTCTGGCCAGTCAGCTCCAGTGCAAGAGGTACAGACTCTTCAGCTTCGAACTCAACGTAGCCGACGCTGGACTGATGTTAGCATGTATATATGATGAACGAAGAAGTGAGTACTCACCCCTTGCTACGGCCGGTAACACGGTCTTTGACGATCTGAGCTTCGACAACAGGGCCGACACGCTCGAAGAAGCTGCGCAAGTGGCGCATCTCAGCGCGCTGGGAGATCTGCTGGACGAAGATGGTGCGCTTGTCGCGGTCGTCCTCGGTGACCTCAGGCTTGGGCGGGGTGTTGTTGCGACGGCTGTTGCGACGGTCATCACCACCGTTGCGGCGACGGTCGCGGGACCTCTCGCGGTACCTGTCGTTGCCGCGGTCGCGAGGGGAACGGGAACGCGGACGACCGCTACCGCTGTAGAAGTCGCCTCCGCGGTCACGGCCTCCACGACCTCCACGGCGGTCGCGCGAGCTGCTGCGGCGGAGCCTATCACGGTCTTCATCTGTGTCAGCACCTTTGCTAGAACGGGGACGGCTTCCGTCTCTTCGGCGGTGGTCTCTATCGCGGCTGCGACGGCGATCTCCATTGGACTCACGATGACGGTCCCCACGGTCTCGGCTCCTATCACGGCGGTCACGGCGATCTGAGTGGCGGTCGTCGCGGCGGCTGTCGGTGTCGCGCGCCTCGCTGCTGGCAGTGCGCTTGCGCTCGGCGTCCTTCATCTCGACCTCGCGGGCGGTCTCCTCGAGGAGGGCCTCGACTGCGGCTTGGGTAGACATGTCGACGTCGCTGGCGGTTCCTAGCTCTCGATAAGCGTAGCTGGTGGAAGTGATGCGCGATGTCACTGCAATGGGCGATGTGTTGTTGTGATGGCGAGCTGGGGCTCAAGTATTGATTTCAATTGCGATATCGAACGGACGTAGAAATGTCACTGCTGGCGCTTGCCGAATGATCTCTTGACCGAGATGCACTTGACAAATGGGAGCTTGATTGAAGCTTTGCTCGTGCAGCACGACGTGTTAATGGGTGGGTGAGTGGAAAGCGGAGAGGCAGGCCTGGGCGTGATAACTTGAAAAGTTGGAGAGGCCTTGGCAGGGTCCGCGTGACTAATAGGCAGCAAGTCAAGTGTGGCGGTGACTGCCGCCGTGAGCGCAACAGGGAAATGAGCAGTGACTGAGGATTGGGGAACACAAGTGAAGTGATTGTTGGCATTACGATTATCTGAGGTAGTGAGTCATAAAGTTATCTACAAACATCAAAGCTGCATCGACCCAAAATGGCCCTGCAGACCCGCTAAACGCCATCTTCAATGCCGGTCTTGACAACGTAGTGACAGGTGGGTGTCTAATAACAAAAGTCTATTCGTGCGTCGCCATTCAAGTGGACTTGATGACCTTGGAGGGTCCCATCTCAAGCTCGGTGCCGAAGATGCGGTCCCAGAAGCGGCTGGTAACACCGAAACCGTTTTGATAGTCGGCGAAGTGGTGCGCAAGGTGGTACTTCTTGAGTTGCTGGTAGTAGGGAGGTAGCCTTCATTTTGTTAGCGAGGTCCTTCATAGTGATCTATGGGTATACGTACTTCTGGTGGTGGAGGAAGTAATGTGTCATGTCGTAGCAGGTGTAGCCAAAGATACCACCACAGTAGGCAGCCAGAGCGGCATACCAGTTCCAGAAGATGATCGCGTGTGCGAACTTCCAGAACGGCGCCGCCAAGACAGCGAAGAGTGTAGGTGGCATGACGAGCCTGTATCTGTCCATGGGAAGGTAGTGGTGAATGCCGTGGAGCAAGAAGTGGAGGGTGATCGCGACGCGGTTGTCGGGGAGGTGGCTGCTTGTTGTTAGTACAAGATGAATCCATGTGGATGGGGAGTACTTACTCGTCCAAGTGGAACAAGCCCCTGTGCAGGACGTATTCGATAATGGTCCAGAATCCCAGCCCAAAGACCCAGTACCCAGCAAGTTCCGTCGCGGAGGATAGTCCACCAAACGCAACGGCTGTTCCATACGCGACACAGGGCCACCAGAGCGATGGTACGACCCACCAGGGCGTTTTGCTGAGTGGCTCCAGGAAGTTACCGAATAGCGGCGCGGAGTCGCCTCCCTTGTAGTGGCGCGGGCGATGCACTTGCTGTAGGTAAAAGTCCTTGCTGAATCCACCATTCCAGACCTGCATCAGAAGCGGCTTGCTCAGGTCCAAGAACTTGTGCTGCTTGTAGTCCTGGTTCGGGTCCGTCGGTCTTGAAAGATCTTCCGCAGATGACATGCCGGTTGCTTCGTACAGCGGCTTGCCGTCCTGCTCCATGCCCTTGAGCTCCAGCTTGCCAACCTCGGAAGATGGCAGAGGCACGATATCTGCAGGATTCGAGCTCTTCACTACGCCATTCAGAAGATTTTCGGGGACCATGAAGCCCACCAAGTTCTCTTCAAGAATCTCGTATGCGGAATCGGAATGGGTGTGTGAGATCTCGTCCTTTAGGATTGCCTCGATGTCTTTGCCCGCATATTCAAGGATAAACTCGGGGCCACCGGGATGGCCATCAAGGAAGTCGGTAACATCGTAGACCTTGGTGCCAATCGTGACATAGCAGGACTTCTCGTTGTTGTGCGCGCGTACCTCGGCGGTCGGAATCGTCGGAAGGGTGCGGCCGGGCATTGTGGTGGTTGTAGACATCAAGTCTATGTTCGGCGGTGGGTGATTTGCGGTACGTAGGAAGGGGACTGGCGAGGGTTGTTTATATGTGTCCAGC